AGTGATTGTTTATTTCCATCCAATCACTTTGGATTTTGCACTTCAGATGTATTTGAGTAACAAGTTAATACAAATGTAATCATCATAATAAATACATTGAATATCAATACAAAATGTAAGTTGAAAGTAAAGGTGCAAATAAAGTTTTAGGTTAACGGTAACTATTCAGGACCAACGAAAAGATTAAAGCTGCAATAATTCACCCATTTAATACGATTTGTCTTTAACGTGACAGCGTTAAATACAAACGTTCTGTTCTCCAACACGTGACGGCCGCCGCGTGTTTCTGCGTCTTTACGTGTCGACGCGCTGGTTTCACTTCCTGGTTGTAAAGTCTTGCGTGTGTTGCAGAGCGATTCACCTCCAGAACAACAGGTGGAGTCACGTGTTCTGTTGAAGACGACCTGGAGAGTCACGTCTTTGTGTGTGGAAGTCGCTGGTGGCTTTATTTATTGATCATAGACTTTATTGCCCCGTGCATCCACACTGCTGCTTTCCATCAAGGACACATTTGTCCCGTATTTTCCTCCACGACTTTGTTCCCCTCGTTTGTGGAGATCTCCCTCCATGAATCAGAGGCCGTCCGGCGTCCTCATAGTCCGCCAATGACGGCTTGTACAAGCGCTCATATTTAAAAGCTCTTCACTCTGATCCGTTCTCTCGTAAAAGTTCTTCCTTTTAATAACGGCCGTATTGTGCTGTGAAAACGGAGACGTGAGACTCTAAAGGACGTAGTCAGAGACCAATCACAGCCTGCTGCTGCAGGACGCTGCAAAGTTTTAGACGCTAGTCTACAAAAATGGGTCCACGCACACAAAGAGGAGTGAAAAGACACGCAAGGGACACGCGTGTCCTTGCGTCTCTCTGAAAACGCAGAAGCATAAACTAGGCTTTAGTTCCAAAGTCAAGAACCCACAAGATTGAGACTTAAGTCAAATTGTTCTGAAAGCCGACTGGTTAAAATATGGGTTGAATTATGTTAAATGCAGACTAATAAAAGTCTGACATGAGATCCATTTCTTTCCAAATCAGAGACCAGAGTCATTGACACTTCATCTTTCTTTTGTTTAATCAGAAAAATCAAAATCCACAAACCACCAAAACAGGGTTTTATTTGCATATTTATTGTGGTCCGTTTCAAGTGGGAGGTTTAACAAACTGGGTTTCTGGTTTCAGAACAGTTGGTTCAATCAACTCGAGTCGGTTGACTCAGAGTTTGAGCGCGTGCAGCATCACAGTATGAAGGCAGCATGAATGGAGCCACGATACTACCAGTTACCATGACAACCACCACAAACATTATATTCACCCCTATTGAGCTGCAAATATTAATGCAAGCGTACAAGTATGAACCCGTAATTAGACAAAGACAGAGAAACAGCGTAAGTTCCAATATAGTGTCAGTTAATGTTTAATGTACACTAATCATAATCCATACGATTTATCCCACTGTTAGAATACACTACACACAGGCTGGAAATACCCACACATGCTCATATTTAGAATAATATCACTGGTATAAGCTGGTACGATGGTGTTGGACCTATAATGTGTTTTCTTCAGGTGCGTCCATTCTAATGTTGTAAAGGAAAACACGTCTTACTACACAAAGAATGTACTCGTATGTTAGAGCACGTCCGCGATGGGGACGCTACGCTGTGTGATTGGCTGGGCTGCTGTCAGAGGGAGGAGCCTGTGGAAGGAGAAAGAAAACCTGCTCCCGACCAGGTGATGTTCACAGGCTCAGTTACCATGGTGCCTGACCCTGAGCTTTAGTTACCATGGAGACTGACCCTGAGCTTTAGTTACCATGGAGACTGACCCTCAGCTTTAGTTACCATGGAGACTGACCCTCAGCTTTAGTTACCATGGTGACTGACCCTCAGCTTTAGTTACCATGGTGACTGACCCTCAGCTTTAGTTACGTCCCTTTGTGAAACAAGCCAGAGGTTCCCTCATCTCAGGGTGAACAAACCTGCTTCTTGAAACGGACCCCTGGTGTCGTTCTGGATCGATAGCTTTGATATGAACCAGGTCCGTTGGTCCACTGCTGTCAGTGGGAGTGTGGCTCACTGTGGGTGAGGACCGTGTGGTGGGAGGCGGGTCTGCCGTACAGGTAGAGGTCCGGTGTGGGCGGGGAACGAGGGAACAGGAAGCGTGAGGGCAGGAACATCCTGCCAGCTTCAGCCAGAAGCTCCAATCCGATGGTGGACTGACGCTTCCACTTTGTTCTGTGGAACGAGATTATTAACATCTTTATGTTTCAATTATTGAATAAACATATGAGGATCCTCTATTTAAAGTTGTTTATTTTACATTTACATGTTTCATGTAGCTGAGGCTTTTATCAACTAAGAGCAGAAAGACCAGAACAAAGAAAGTAACATTTGAGTACCATTGTAAGTGCTAGTAAAGGTCTAGTGGGTAGAGGTGCTACCTGGACTAGTGGGTAGAGGTGGTACCTAGTCCGGGTCTAGTGGGTAGAGGTTCTACCTGGTCCGGGTCTAGTGGGTAGAGGTGCTACCTAGTCCGGGTCTAGTGGGTAGAGGTTCTACCTGGTCCGGGTCTAGTGGGTAGAGGTGGTACCTGGTCCAGGTCTAGTGGGTAGAGGTTCTACCTGGTCCGGGTCTAGTGGGTAGAGGTGGTACCTGGTCCAGGTCTAGTGGGTAGAGCTGTGTTTTTAGCTGTATAGGCTTTCTGATGTCAATGGGGAGTTCAATCCACCATTTAGGAGCCTGGACATCAAACAGCCGGGATGTTGTTGTGTTTGGATGCAGACTGGACCTGATCTGTTGGCCGATACCGTCCTTTAGGAATGTATGCAGGCAGCCACTGGTAACCAGTGAGGGGAATGAGTGAGGGTGCATTTAGGTTAAAGGCCAGTTAAGCTACTGCAGAGGATGGGTGGTGCTGGCCGGTGGAGATGTTAAAATATATATATATATATACCTCCGGTTCTGGTACCAGGTCTTGACCTGGGTGTCGCTGAGCTGCAGGGAGGCAGCCAGCTCCATCCGGTCCTGGACACTCAGGTACTTCTGCTTCTGGAAGCTCCTCTCCAGCCTCGTCAGCTGCTGCTCGCTGAAGGCGGTCCGAGCTTTACGAGGCTTCTTCTGACGGTCGGTCGGCCAGTCGGCTTCGTTACAAGCATTTCAGTTAGAATTCACCTCATGGAGGGTTTTATTTTGAAAGGATGGGAGTGGGGGAAAGAGGAGACACTCAGAGGTTACTGGCGTCTGTGAACTGAATGAGGCTGAAACGTGTTATTCATATTAATGCTTCTGTAATATGTGATGGATGATATAGTAATAGTAAAATAAATAAATTACATATATATATATATAAATGTTATAAAGGTCAGGGGGTAGGTTCCGTTCGTATATTAAAATTATGAAAAAAAGACTACCAGTATCACGTTTCATCTTAAATTATGTGCCTATTATCTGCCTTAAGGTGTTTATTCTTTAAACATAAAAGCCATAAAAGTATTTTTTCGGAGACAGTTAATTCTTAACAATAATCATTAATTCATGCTTATTGTTATTATAATCTATAATTATTATTTTTTATAAATATTGTTGTTAATAGTATTATCAGGACACTCGGAACTGTATGAAATAAGAATAAATAATTTATTTTAATAAATTCACAAAGAGCTGAAATATTCTGTTTTAGTTCTAAATAATCATCGATAATCAGAATCACTTTTACTTGCATTTAAATGTCTTCTGCACACATGAACAGATTAAAGGATTTGCTTCACATGAATCTACAGATTCCTTTTTCCGTCACAATAAAGGATTAAAAGTTTAACATCGCATCTTGAGTCTCTCACCTCTGGTCTCACTGTCGGAGCCGCTCACGCTTTTATCCTGGAAATCTTCTTCCGGTCCGAAATGGAACGACCCGGGTTCGAGCTTGAACTGTTCCGGGTCCGGAGGGGACCGGCGGTCCGCTAGGATGTCCCGGATGAGGAATGAGGAGCTGAAGAAGCGGTTGCGGGGCTGGAGCTGCTCCGGGCGGCCGGCGGACCGGGCACACTGCAGCCGGAGATCAGGCTCTCTCTGCGGGGAAGGAGGTGCAGAGTGACCGGCGGCCGTGCGGAGCTCCGCAGGAGGTAAGAGGAGCGCGTCAATGAGGAACCCGGAGCAGCCGGAGGCGGGGACGTCCATCTCTTCCTCGCGCGCACTCAGGTGAGTTTGAGGGACTCGACCAGGTGTGCGCGCCAGAAGTGAGCGACTGTGACGTCATCGTGCTGATTTCAAGAGATGGACTATGGGCGATGACCAGCACCA